TACATGGTCCGCACCATGCTGGAATCCCTGGTGTCTGACAAAGGAGGCAAAAAAGTAATGCGCAAGGAGCTGGAGAAAGAGACAGTGGAGATGATTGAGACATTCTTGAAGAACTCTTTCTTCTTTGAACAGCTGCTTCATTTCAATGAAGTTTTAAGGGAGTGTTGTGACCTTTCCCAGCTTTGGTTCAGAGAGTTCTATCTGGAGTTGACAATGGGGGCCAGAATTCAGGTCAGAATCACTGTAATAATGGCCTTTTAGAACTGTGCAAACTGATCAGTACTCAAGAACTGATCTCTTGCCTAACTATCCTAGAGGAGACTGTTGGTTATTAGCCAGCAATGCATGCATTGAAAAGTAAAACAGTTCTAAGAGCTGGCAGCTGGTTTACACAATTTCTGGATTTAAGAAAATTACGTCTTATTTAGAGAATTGTGCCAGAATTGTTACTCAAGCACTGAGCCTTGAGTGAAAACTCTTTTCTTTCTATTTTTACTTATTTCTGTTAAGTCACCCAGAGGAAACCAACCTATACAGAGGTGTAGGGAAATTCCGTCCATATTGTGACACCAAAACACGGGCCCTAAAATGCTGGAAGAAACTTTGAAATTGACTTACGCACAGTTGTGTAGGAAACAAATCATTTGTACGACACTGATTTTGTCAGTCTTTCTCTTTGCCACTATGCCCATTTATATATTTCTCATCAATGACTCTGTTCTTTGTATGTGCAGTTTCCTATTGAGATGTCGCTGCCGTGGATCTTGACAAATCACATTCTAGAGAGCAAGAATCCCAGCATGATGGAGTAAGTATTGAAATGAAAAGTGATCTGCACAGTGCAATACAAGATGCGGGGTCATGGTGGCTGGTGATTGCTGTGTTTTGCTGTGAAATGCATTTTCCACGCAACTGGTGAACTTGAGTACAAGACAAGTGTTAGCCAGGCATGTGTTCAAAGGGAAGGGAGAGGGGGAAACTAGTTTCCCTCTTTCCCTTCCCTTTGAATGCCTGCCACACCGGCTACTTACGTGTGTAACTGGTGAATTTTTAACCAACTCTTGACAATATGCTGAGAGGTAATGTGTGATGGGTTAGCATCTTAGTTGGGCAGGGGGAAGGGTGGGTAACAACAGTCAACAAAAGGCCATGAGTACAGTCAGTGCTCAAGTGCTTGCCAGGAAATAATAAATGAAAACAAAGTTTAAGCGAAACATGGATAAGTGAAAGTACAATTACATGTAACAAGCAAGAGCTAATGTAAGGAAATTAAATAACACAGGCAACCAAAACAAAATGCACTCTGAGGCTTCGTTGAAGTCTTAACTGACCAATGAACTGTTGTTATTCTCTAGGTATGTCTTGTATCCCTTGGATCTTTATAATGACAGCGCTCATTATGCCCTGACTGTTTTCAAGAAACAGTTTCTGTATGATGAAATTGAAGCTGAGGTGATTCCACGATTGACTTTAAACTGTTTGTATTAGTCAGGGTTGTGCACTAGCCCAAATGACTCATGTAAAACCAAAACCAAAATTATCACATCTGGTTAATTACAACGGATACAAATCACTCAGTGAACTAACCAGAAATTGAAACAAAAACCATGTAATCCGTTTAAATGGTGCGGGGAACGGTTGGTTCCCTTCTGACTGGCTAAAAGCCAGATATTAGTAGAGCTCATTGGTTAGAGCAACAGACCGGTGTATGATACGGTCATGGCTTTAACTCGCACCCAGGGCTCTGAGTAGCCCTATTCACCGTTAATCTTTCTCATTTGCCTTACGATATAGTCCAGCATGCATGTGAGGCAATTTCGGGCTATTTTGTAGTTTTAACCCGAAATTGCCTCGCATTCACGTTGGATTACATTGTAGCGTAAATAAGCAAAGTAACGGTCAAAGGGTTGTTCTTCATTGCTCTGTTTCGTTTCCTCGCAGTAACTTTACACTGTGCATAGTATTTGTAATGATATTTCTTATTTGGTTGTTAGGTAAACCTTTGTTTTGACCAGTTCGTGTACAAGCTCAGTGATCAGATTTTTTCTTACTACAAGGCACAGGCTTGCAGGTGACTCCTTTTCCTTTCGTTCATTCCAAATGCTTCAACAGTTCAAGTAGTTTAAAATATGTAACATGCCATACCAAAATCACGAAACGTGTAGCAAGGGTGGGGAAAGTCACGCAACTCTTTCATTGTCACGCTTGAAATCTTGATTCTTTTTATTGACTGCTGTATATTTTCTTCAGTTTTACTTGGGAAACTTTGGTGCTTGAACCTGGCGATATTTCTTGGCTAACAATTTTGTATTTTATGTTCTCTTCAATTGTGTGTTTGTGATTTTGATCATTTTTGTGAATTGATAGTATGAATCAGTTATCTGGTTTTCCCTCTCTACAGTATGTTGCTGGACAAGAAGTTCAAATCTGAGCAGGTCCGTTTGGGTGTCGAGGCCGCGGCGAAGCTAGGCACTCGCTCCAATAGATACGAGACTCTTCTGAAACAAAGACATGTGCAGGTTAGTGAAAGTCGTCCTTTCCTTGGCCAATTTTTTTAGCTGTTTTATGGGTCGAAATGCATTCGACGGCCATAAACACGCAAGGGAAAAAGGTTAAAATTACGCAATGCATCGCATTGCAAGGCAAGGCAACGCAAGAAGTAGTCACGGTCATGCTTTCCCAATGGAAAATTCGTTCGAAAAACATGACCGTTCCACTTAACTTTCAACCTTTATTTACCCTCGGCAGTGTAATAGCACAAGTGCTGGTGGGGCCGAGCAAGCAACTGAAACAAATAATTGAAATTGAACATAACATTGTCAAGAATCTCAACTGGCCGGAGGCAAACCAGTTGGCTATTTACAAGCATGGCCGATGATTTGAACTCGGGACTACCGAGAAACAAATCCAGGTAGTGGTGAGAGCGGGATTCGAACTCGGAACCGCTGGATTGTGTGTCCGACACGCTGACCACTCGGCCACGCTGCCTGCCTGGGAAATACCAGGTAATATCCAGCGGGCAGGATAGTTCAAGCCAATCACAGCGCAAGATTTGGTTAATCTTGCCCGTCTGTGGAGCTAGCTTTAGAGAAAATGTACTGGAGATACAAGTCGCCTTCAGTCACTGAGCGCACAACGAATTTTCACGTGGCAGCACAACCAATCAGAAGACGTTATATGCGCACTACAGAGAGTAGGGTAAAAGTGAAGAACTGAGCTACCTCCTCACTGGGGAGGTTTTCTGCTCGAATATCGGACATTTTGGGAGGCGCGGTGGCCTCATGGTTAGTGTGCT